AAGCCTTTTTCTCTGTCTATGGAAAATGTTATGCCTAGTTCAGCAAAGACATTAGTCTATTTCTCGTCTTGATAAAAACACAATCAAAGATAAAAATATCCCAGACCATCGGAAATAACTACAAAAATGATTTATACAAGTATACCTTTCTAGAGGTTCTCTTTTTGTTGCAAGGTCTTAAAAAACGATCTAGGTTTGCAGGACATACTATTTTAAAATACAAACACCCTCAATACGTTATACCTCACGCGAACTCAAAATCAGAAAGAAAATAAAAAACGCCAAAAGCACTAAGTAGACAATCATCGTACACTTAAGTTCAATTGATTGCCGAAGAAATGTTGAACTGCGGTGATGATTTGCCGCTTCATATCTGGCGTCAGTTGAGAAGCTGCTGCGTTTACAAACTGAGAGGGGATCACTTTCTGTAAAAAGAATTACGTATGATTATGTCATTGCGCTTTTAAAAAACACTCGAACTAGATACCCATTTATCAGAGGATATCTCAGCGAAAGAAAACAATTTTTTTGCGCCTCGAATCTAACAGTTTATTCTTCAAAAGAAGAATATCTTTCACGTGTTACGGAACGTTTTCCAAATCATACTAACCGTCACGGTGGTAGCGAGTGTTTTCCTTTGTGTTGGGCTTAAGTCGTTCAGGATTATATAAGCCACACTCTTAAATTTCCTGCGAGATACAGCCGCTGCCACGGCCCCTCCCATTGCACCACCTGAGGATAAAATCATTTAATATATATAGTGAGAAGAAGAGAACGAGAGGGAGGGGGAGGAGGGAGGAGGGAGGAGATAGAGAGACAGAGAGACAGAGAGAGAAAGACACACACACAGAGAAGGAGACAGCAAGAGTGCGAGAGAGAGAGAGAGAGAGAGAGAGAGAGAGAGAGAGAGAGAGAGAGAGAGAGAGAGAGAGAGAGAGAGAGAGAGAGAGAGAGAGAGAGAGAGAGAGAGAGAGAGAGAGGAGAGGAGTAGAGAGACAGACAAGAAGGGTGAGAGAGAGAGAGAGAGAGAGAGCGAGAGAGAGAGAGAGAGAGAGAGAGAGAGAGAGAGAGAGAGAGAGAGAGAGAGAGAGAGAGAGAGAGAGAGAGAGAGAGGAGAGAGAGAGAGAGAGAGAGAGAGAGAGAGAAGAGAGAGAGAGAGGAGAGAGAGAGAGAGAGAAGAGAGAGAGAGAGAGAGAGTAGGGGTGGGGAGAATAGAGCAAGATAAAAAAGAGGAAGAAAGAAAGAAATAGATTTATAGATAGATAGATCAGAGCTTAAAAAAAGAAAAAAGAAAAAAAAAAACAAAGAAAAAGAGAACAGACTCACTGCCTCCCTTACCGATAGCAAGGCCAACGGGACCCCCCAGGAGACCCCCGCACATGGTGGCGATTCCTGCGATGCAACCCCCCTTCACACTCTCCCTGACGGCGGCTTGAAGGTTCTCCTGCTCGCACAGATCGGCCAACCAGGCGAGGACCTCGGACACCTCGACTCGCATGGACGACATCGCCGCTCCTGCGTTGGGGCGAGGGAAGCCAGTCAGAGAGGGCGTCTTGTGGTGCGTTCTTCCTCACACACTATATTAGAATGCTTAGGCATAGATAGATGTGTGTGTGTGTGTGTGTGTGTGTGTGTGTGTGTGTGTGTTGTGTGTGTGTGTGTGTGTGTGTGTGTGTGCGCGTGCGTTGCGTGCGTTGCGTGCGTGTGTGTGCGTGTGTATGTGTATGTGTGTGTGTGTGTATGTGTGTGTCTGTATGTGTGTGTCTGTATGTGTGTGTGTCTTTAATGTGTGTGTTGTGTTATGTGTGTGTGTGCCTATGCATGTGCGTGGTGCGTATGCATGTGCGTGTGCGTATGGCATGTGCGTGTGCGTATGCATGTGCGTGTGCGTGGTGCGCGTGTGCATGTGCATGCATATGCGTGTGCGTATGCATGTGCGTGTGCGTATGCATGTGCGTGTGTGCATATGGGTGTGCGTATGTGTATGTGTATGTATATATCTATATATGTATATATTCATGTATGTATATATGTATGCGTGTATGTACGTTTATTAAAAAGAATATTGGAATATTGGTAGCACTTAACCCATAGGCCTATAAAATGTGACAAATGTACGTTACACAGATCATCATAATTCTAAATCAACAAACAGAAAATAGTTTCCCGTATCACTTCCATAATGCAAAATACAGTATATACAACGTATTAGCTTAAATTTAAATATAAAAACAACTACAAAAGACGGTTTGAGCTGTTTTCCTAAATACAAGTGCAGTCAGATGGTCGCCTCGATTCCCAGTGATGATGTCAGCTTGCCTTAGAGTTTTCATTTTTTGTTCACGTCTTCTTAGACACACGTATATCATATGACATTCTTTTCATAGGAGAGAAACTATTGTATGGTATGAGTCAACTCACCTATTAATTTACGCAGTGATAATCGAGGGAAAAGTAAATAACGAGAGACAATGCTTCTTTGAGACCGCCACTGATCGCT